TCTGACTGGCCGAAATTAAAGAAATCAAAAGAAAACAAAGAAAAAAACAAAAACCAAACAAACGGTTGGGCTTTTCTTGTTATTTTATATCAGTATGCATGAATAAGAAATAGGTATATTTTAATAATAGGTATGTCCCTTCTGATAGATTTCGGCCACGGCAGCCAATCTCACTTAGACTAGCCATGTCCCACGGGCTCGTTCATAAGTACACTCTCTTTTACTTTTGTGTTTTACCACAAAAATGAGTATAGGATAATCTATACTTATTATAAAAATAAGTCCCCCGGCCGCGTCTTTCTGTCCTCCTGTCTGTCCTCCTGTCTGTCCTCCTGTCTGTCTGAACGCGATAAACTCGAAAACTACTGAACGGATTTTTATACGGTTTTCAACAATAGAAAGAGTAATTCTTGAGGAAGGTTTAGGTATATAATTTATTATGCTTTTATGTAAATTAGCTGAAATACGGCGACAAATGTTGAAGAGGTCGCAAAAAATCTCGCCAAATGGGAACTTTCCACGCGAACGCCGCGTAAACTAGCAAAGATACAGTTAAGTAATGTACTAGAGAATTCAAAATCTATAAAAATGCTACAAAAAAGTCCGCGATAGCATATCTCTATCTCTTACGGTTGACTTACAATAACCACTTTTATGTTAACATTTTTAATTAAAAACATTACGTTATTTTCAAAGTTATTTTCTTTAGTTCGGTATTAATCCTTATCCAAATGAATATTTTAGTTAGCTTAGTCATTTAATGCAGATTAAAATTGCTCTTTACACTAAATCAATCAGATGAATAGTTTTTGAGATATCGTTGTTAGAAGTAATTAGTAGCGAAACATTTTTAATGCTTGGCGAGCATTGAGATGCCTACGGCGAGTCCATCCCCTCTGCCCCGCATCGCTCGACCGCCTGCTCAAGCTATATAAACCGGGCGATGTAGCGCGCGATCCTAGGATACTTTTTACCGCGGGAAAATATCTTATTTCTGAGGAAAAATACAAAAACTGCAATGTAAGAGTATACTAATATGTAACACCTAAGAATTTAGTTTTTGGTCATCTGAACGCGGGCGGAGCCGCGGGCAATGCTAGTACTAATATAATTTTTCGAATCACTAGTTTTCGTCTAAAACATAGATATATGAATACATAGATGGTAATTAGGATTTGTCGTGTAATAACCATTTATTGTTTCAGACGTTATTATTACATAAAAACTTCTACATAAGAAAAATATATAAGAACTCATATACAAGGTAAGTACGTAAGTATCACAAGTTTAAATTACTATAGCATTATATATCCAAGCTTTGAGTGGATCGCGAATATGAATAATGCACTATTTCTGCACGTCTCGTTTCTCTCAGCTTATGTTCCTCTCGCATCCGCGGCTAGTTTCTAGAGATCCTCACGCAGTAACTTCTAACATCAATATTTAACTAATATTATTGAACAACTTTTTTAAAATTATTGTATTATATTAGTGTTATTATTAATTAAATTTTTAAATAAATTCTATATTTATTAGTTATATTATTTTTTAAATATTATAATCATTACTGCAGGTAAAAAAGGGATGGACCAATGCATAACTACGCCGTTCAAAATCGATAATTAACTAAATGTAATCGATTAAGTTACTTAAGAGAAACAATATGCCAAAGAGACCTTACTAGTATGGTATGGTATATTCGGGCTTGTTTTTGCAACTCGACGTCTGTGCGCCCCTATTTTGCGTGTGTCCTTACTCGTAATCCATGTCGTTATAAATATGGAAGTAATTTTGTGCGTTTGTAACCTTTTTGCTTACCATTTAACACATTTTGATAAAATTTTATCTCTTTCCAACGTCGCACAGCTTGCCATGCGAGCGGAGCTGCAGGCAAAAACTACAAATTAATATAGGTGTATGTTTGTATACTATATAAATGCGACATTAATGCAAACGATATACCTAAGTATTAATATATAAATCGATAACACAATAGCTACAACACAAATAGAAACTCGACGGAACCCTGCAACAGAACAATAGATTAGAATTCTTATTAGGTTAAAGAACCCCATGCATTTTTCTATTTGCACCACGACCGGTTGTAAGGGATCGTGTGAAAATCTTGCAAGATGGCCGCCAGTTATGATAAATATTATTTTTATTATTGATCTATCGTTTAAAAGTTTAGTTACACTTGCCGACTCGCAAGTTTATTTTTCATTTCTTGTATTTTACTAGAGTCAAGCCTATTACACTATAGTGAGTTTGTACGTGTGAAACTACATACTTACGTATAAATAAGCTTTTAGAGTAATAGACGTCACCGTATGAACTGTGAGTCTGCAAATATACCTACAGAGCATCACCATTGTAGCAAATGCTAAAAAATCAATGTTTCTGACTTTACGCCAATTGTAAAGTTTTTCGAGATTCGTTTTTTTTTTTTGAATAATTAGGTTAATAATAATAAAATTTTATATTTCACTAGCGACTCACCCTCACTCCGCTCGGATTCGTCCCTACGTTTTGAGGTTATAGATTTCATCAGAGATGAAATATTTTCTCGCAGTAATAAGTATCTATATGTTGACCCGGATAACCAGCTATGATCATATCAAATTTCATCCAAATCTGTCCAGTGGGTTTCTCGTGATGCGGTCACAGATAGACAGACGAAAATTCTAAAAACTATACATTCGGTCTCTGTATCGATAATAATAAGATTTTTCAAAAAATATTTAATGTACAGATTCAACTCAGAATTTTATTATATGTATAGACTTAATGAGTATTTACTCTATAGTAATATTCCGTCAAGAAAATCCCATACACAATACTTATTCAAGGATCACATCAGCCGTTACTATCGTATAAGGAGAGGAGAATAAACAAAGATGTGTTACATCTCATTGATAGTATTAGTATTGTTTTCAGGTTCAGTCAAAAAATAAAGGGTTAATAAAATAAAAAAAGAACGTAGTTTTAAATCATTTATTACATCAAATGCATTGCATTGTGATATTTAAAACAATAAATATTGGTGTAGTACCTTTTATTGTATAATAATGATTTAACTATTTAGTTAATTCTTTTATACATCCATTACATACATTGTCCACTTTTAAAAATTAAAAAAAATACAGAAAATATAATTTAGGGAACACCATAGGTAATTGAAAATTCCGGAAACATTTCAAACAAAAATTTTGCGGAATTAAATTTTCCAAGTGAACCAAAAATTCGAAAAGTGTTTAAAACATTTAATACATAAATATTTCATTATTTACTTTTAAGATTATGTATTTGATACGTTACGATTTTATAAAGTTACATACATACACTATTGTTTAGTTTTAATTATTAAATGAAAAATATAACATTTATAGATTAAGCTTAACGGAATGAACAAAGGCTATAATGAAAACAAAGTAAAAAAATGTCCTCTTTGGCTATTTACTGGTAGACATAAAACATGAAGAGTAAAAAAATTGTACTTTACAGGCTTTAAGAGAGAAAAAAATATTGCATTGTTTATTTAAAGCCAATCCAAATTATCCGTCTGTGGGTTTCCTTAGTAAAGAAATAAATTTGACATAAGAACTATATAAATTCTATAAAATTTCTATCAACAGTCAGGAAAACCGTAGATAATTAAGATTATCTAGAATTACGGGGATTCGATTTTATTTTAAGTAACATTTGTTATCTGTATTTATTAGCAGCCACAGTATTAAAATATGGATATGCTTTATAAAATAACAAAAAATATATATACATAATAAAGACATACTTTTTCCTATTAAATCATTATCCACATGTTGAGTTATTACTTTTATTATTTTACTATTAAATAAAAAATAAAAATTATACCCTTATAAACATGCAGAATTTACATTGAATAGCATAATATTTAAAAGCCCATTCAGTTAATAACACGACAGCGAAGAGAGAAAGTTGTAAACATTTTATTTATTCGGTATCACAAAAATCATATTCAAATCACTGGTGCACATTACAATTATGAATTTTTAAACCAATCGATACAAAAACTTACACATTTTCAAAAATAGCACCAATATTAAATATTAGTACTTTAATTTACACCTAGCAACACATTTATAATGCAAACGAATCTCGTTACAGAGAAAGAAAATGCATTCGACATTTAACTGCTACCGTACTTTGTAAATTTTAAATTGTTATTCAAAAGACATAAAAATAAAAAAAATGAGCTTAAAACAATATTTATGAAAGTGTTTTATTCAAATTAATTATAAAAAAAACCTTTTTTTGACACTAAGTCATTTTTTTGATATCATGCTAATAAAAAAAAACGAAATCAACAAAAAATTACATTATACAGTAGCACTTACTCTAACTAATTATAGGTTAGTAAACGGATATGATCTTACTATTCGCACCTTATCTTTAATACCTTTAAAAATACTTACTATGATGATGTGAACAGATATGTTATTTTAACAACTAAATTATTTAACATGGTAACACTTCAACTATGGAATCAAAAGATAAAAGACTTTTTTACTTCTCTCGATATTTCCATGCTAGGCCTAAGTAACCAACAGAACACTAAAACAATAAACGTTAACGCATAACGTATGTTAGAATTTATAAAACTACAACTTAAACTGAAATATAGCTCTAATAATAGAAACATACCTAATTTTATTTGGTCTCATTTTAGTAACGGTTTAACAGAAAATTATTTTACATTCTTTCCAGATTAAATACAATATAACTCTATAGTGAGTAGTAACATTATCTGTAATCGAACGAACATTTATTATCTGTGTAAATATTTTGGCGCGCTCATACGTCACTTTGACAGCGCATCAAATTAACATCTATTAAATTTGAAATAAAAATTTCACCTACAGATTATTATTTTGATATCATAAATACATTCCATATCTATTTGCATAGTAGTTTTATATATTTTCTACAGTATAATGAAATAGTTGCCATATAATACTTTAGGGTGAGAAAACTCGAAGACTCCTAAGCAGTGTTGCTAGTACATTAGCCAAACATTCAGCTCGCAGGGCCAACTGACCTTCCAAAGTGGAATTAGTCTCTTGCCCTTGTGTTTTTGAGTTATGTTCGTGAATGATTTGCGCCATTTCTGCTCCAGCGAGGTCTTTAAACGCGGCGGTGACGTCGTGGACGCGGAGGACTAGGTTTCTAGTTTGGAGTGGGGCCGATGTGTGTCGTCCGAGAGCCTAATTACAAGTACAAATAAACTTTTAAATAATAACTCAAAATAAGGAATTGTTAATACCAATAAAACTAAAAGTTCAATTCGAAATAAAAGTGTTTAGTATGGTTGTACTTATATTTCAATTTAATAGTTTATTCCATAAATAATTATTTGGAAAAACCATTAAAGCAATTAGAAGAAGCTATTCAGTATTCAGTTCAATCCTTTACAGCAATCATGGTCATGGGAAAGACTAAGGTTTTAGACGTCACAAAGGCGTTGTACACTTGTTACAGACAGTAGCTAAAGTAGTAAAGTATTCGTAACGTCGGGAACTAAAAATCAAAATAAATATACGCTAATGTTAATAAAGAGATAAATTTTATGAGTTTATAAAATTTATCTAAGCTATGTTGAGGGTAATCTCTATAACTAATGATCCAATTCTGAAAATTCTTAAGCTAAGTAATAGAAATCTAGAATACCACCGAACGCTACTGGTTATTTTTTATTTTGATAAAAATGCCAAAATTTTTAATAAATGCAATCGAAGTCTGTGAGAAACGGGCCGTTGAGTTGCTACATCGGCGTGCGTTGCTTAAACGGTTTTAAATAAAGCAATAAATAAAATGTTTGCCAAAAGGACACCTAGGTACGATATTGAAGCTGGGATAAGTCGCTCGTTAATATATACCTGTGCCAAATCAGCCAATCGTCGTAACGGCGTGAGGCAGTCGGCGAGCGCGGCGGGCGCGGGCGCGGCCCCGCTCGCGCCGAGCGCGCCTACCAGTGTGCGAGACGCTCCTACTAGGGACACCGCACACGATGTGAGTTCATTGCGAGCTCTCTGAAAAGGCATAATAGTTAATGATGATGATTTTAGAATAACAATACCAATAAATATATTAGATTTTTGTTGTTTTCTCTAAATTCAATTAGAAACTTCCATTCTTATTTTAAAGACCGAAAATGCCCAGTCGGTAATGTACTCTCAATATAGATAAAATTATTTTATTAAAATTTTATATAAATAATCGTTATTCGGAATATTATGCTCAAATATTTACAACGTAGAAAAATAAATGCAGATAAAATGTGTACCTGAAATTTAACTTCATCGATATCTTCCCCACCGCCGTGCGCGTGCTGATGAGAACACTTTTGAGCAACCTGGTGCAGCCGCTGGAGTAGTCCATCAACTGCCACTTCAGTCTTACAAAGCAAATTCTCAATAGACACATGCCCGTTATTGGACTGGAATTCTGGAAATTTGACGGTAGGCGGAGACGGGGGTGTTGGTATGTCGTCTATCACGTCTTCTTTAAATCTCACGTGATTCTGAACTTTCCCTGTCGGACTTGCTGTATCGCGTTTAAGTTTTCTATCTAACGGCGGACTAAAAATACGATCTAATGGCGCCCCGTTTAAGAGGTCTGGACGATTGCTGAACCGTCTATTCATTTGCGGAGAGCATAATGATAAAGCTACAGACATTTCTTTGTTTTTCAGAATTGTATTTTTCGTTTCTGAGTTCGAGCGAACGTGGCGATTTTGTAGCGTCATAGAGCTGTAGTTTTGGGTTGATTTGTTTTGGGATTCATCGTCTGTTAGTCTGTTTTCGATTTCGAGGTTTCGATAGGTATTTAGATTTCTTTGGAAATGTGGAGATCCGATACTGGCCAGGCGTTCTGTACGCACTGGTGACAGCTTCTGGGAGTTTTTCATTCGTAACACTTCGATACTTGGGACGGGGGGTAAGGGTGGTTTCTTAGGTGGTAGCAGTAACGGTGGAGGTGGAGATAGAACTCTGTTTTCTAGTCTTGGTGGTAATTGTGGTGGATTTTGCCCTTCATTTATTTCGCACACAACTTTATAGTTAAGCTTTCTATTGTTCAAAGTACTGAAGGGATTGCTTGTTATTTCGACTGCACTCAATTCGTTATTAGTATAAGTAAATGAATTCGATCTCGGTCTGGGGGCAGGTGTTGGGGGTATTTTGGGAGGTCTTTCAGGTTTTTTCAGGAGTTCTGTACTTTTTCTCCTGGGCGGCGGTCGGATTTCACAAACATCTGGCATTGAGTCAGAGTTTTGAATATTACCTTCGATTTTTTCGGTTTCATCGTTACTGTCATCGCTTTTATTTTTATCTTTGCTACAACACGAGAACATGCCCTTCCTTTCTACCGTTGGATATTCAATAACGTGTGCGTTTCCATTCGATTGCCTATCCCCTATACTTTTTCTTCTACTTTTCGGTGAATCCGATTTCTGATTATGCGATTTACTTTTATCCTTTAAAAGTAAGCTGTTTCTAGCATCGCTCAAGCCCTTTGCACTAAACATATTTCTAATTTCACTAACACTTAGCGCTCCTCGTATTACATCACCGTTTAAAGGTTTTACGTCAGACGAATTCTGCTCGTTTTTAGTTTCATTTGTATTAAAATTACCATGATCTCTATCTAATGTAGATGAGTTTGATGCGGGTGGTGGTGGTATTATATATGACATAATTTCCTCTGGCGTCAATTCAATAGCTGGAGTCACTTTAACAGTCGGCGGTTGTATGGTAACGTTAGCTATAAATTCTTCCAATTCGTTACTTTTTGGTGTATCGTCTGCATCGGCGAAAGATGGCGGTACTATTGGTAAAATTTGAGGCACTTGTGTCGAACAGTCTAACTCATCGGGAGTTTGTGGTGGAGGTATCAAAGTTAAATCTATAAGCTCGGCGTCATTGTCTATAATACTTTCTTGATAAAAGAATGGGAATTCTGCAGCAGTTTCTTCTCTATTACTCTTTTCACGAAGTTGTTTTAGATATTCTTTTAAGTTGGTCTCTTTAGTGTCTAACGTCGCGTCGGGACTATGTAAGCCGAAACTTGTTCTGACGGGTTTACTGGTTGACTTTTGATGTTTTCTTATCGGACTGCTAGTCGGTGTGTATGAAGAGTCATTATCGCTCTCTGAATACACTACATCATTGTTGAGAGCTAATAAAGCATCAGTTAAGCCGCAATTGTTGAGAATTGCACTTAGCCCTTGCGATTGTCGTTTTGTTAGTTCATCATTAAACTTTTTCTCAGGTTCTACTGCTAGACCACTCAACCCTTGGTTAATGGTTTCAGTTAAGAGCAACAAGGAGTCACTATGCTTCAATATACCCGGCGCATCGTCAATATTCGACATCCTACTATTATTAGATTCAGTATCACTTTCTAAATGATCAACACATGTTTCTTTACCAACTAGTTCGTCTCTCAACACTCCATTAAAACCGATATCATTAAAATCACAATTCTCAGTCAAATACTGTTCAGAATTTTTAACTAACTTTTGCATTTCTGCCACTCTACGCAACACTTCCTCATTTTTAGCCTCAACTATGCGTGGATTGTTTGCATTTTCTAGTAATTCCATAGATAATACACTTTGTAGATCAAAGCCCATACCGTCGTCTAGATAGCAAGAATCGTTCGGATCAAATAGCCTGAAATCGTTTCTTTTACATTTATCAAACTGAACATCGTGAGAGACTATATTTTTATCATATCCTACAATAGGGCTGTTACTATTGCTGTGATTTCTATTCGCAATGCTGGTATTCATATTTGAGTCTAGGTTAGTTTTAGATTGTTCTGGAGTGGAGTGATAGGGAGGGGGCATACTAAATATCGCAAAGTGTTTCTTAGCGATGATCAAAGGATCGTCATAGTGCAAGTAACTCCATTTAGCCGGAGTTACGTTGTGTTGCGATAGATAAGGTGGAGCTGGAAAACGAAATGAAAAGTTATATCAGTAAATAGATATTTTATATTAAAAATACCTATTAGCAGTGTATGGGTACTAATAAATTTCAGCCGATAAAGTCCTGGCAGGGTCGCCATATAACCCCCCCAACGTGCGTTCACCTTGTCGTGGGGGGGTTGTTGGCTCAAATACAGCTTATTACTCTCATAATATATTTGATACAATCGTTTATATAGATACTAAAATCTAGGATAGTTATGACATCATTATAATACATTGTTCACAGAAGTAAAAATTATAGTAATATAGACGGAAAAATAATACAGACGATAAAGTAATTATGATTTAGAACATTTACTTTTGCCGTTTAAGTAAATATAAGAAATTGTACTGTAAAGTAATTAATATCTTTTACTTTGACTCGGAATGTTCATGATTGATGAGAATGATGAGATTGTTCAATTCATTCCATATTGTTTTAGACTTAAACCTTTCCCTAATTAAGAATACGAGTTAAGTCAACGAAAAAACCATATCACCCGATATTTTCTATATTTATAATATCTTTAGTATATAGCCACAGTCATAAAGCAAACATTTTTCTCACAGGCGGGCATCGAAATCGCGTGAGCTTAGAGATAGATAGACACTACGATAGTCATCAAAAAAAAGTAATATTTATTATTTATTTTCTCTAGCAGTTTTGAGTGTTTATTTCAATTTAAGTTAGTTTAATAAAAATTTAAGAATAAGTACATACCAATATCTTCAGTAAGAGGTTCCCTTTCCAACTCTACGTTCAGCTCTTTCCCAGTGGCGAGACGGTAATATCTGAAAATTAAAAAAGTTATACTAAAACAATTATTGTAAACATAAATATTTAATTTTACTTTCAGCGTGTATATAATAGAAAAATAAAATAATCATTTTTCTATATATATATAATATAAAGTAGTTTTAAATGAATTACACAAAATGGCGGGTACATTCCATTTCATATTTAGCATCCAAACAATTCGAAAATTGATCCTATAAAATTTATACGTTTAATGTTGTAATATCTAATGTATGTGTTCGCAATACAATATTATTTCTAAGGCCTTACCAGAATTAGATATTTTTCATGATACCTACAATAAATTTAAGTACAATCTATTAGAATATTATGTATCCAAACTGTGATTTAAATATAGATATAATAATTTTTATAAAACTATTGATTTTAATCTTTACTTTATTTTATATTTTAAATTATGTTGTTTCTAATTTTTGTTAATTTTGTATTTTTTATCAATTACTATAATAATTTCATAATATTATAAATGCTATGTACACTTGTTTTTGATATGCATGTCTGATTCTTTTTTTTTCACTTTAATTATTGTATTGAATTGTTTAACATGTGTATTGTAAGTGTGCTTAATAATAAATAAAAAAAAATATCCAAAAAGTTTTCATAGAAATATACAGCCCAAAAAAACAGATTTATGATCATAAATAATAACAAAATATATTTTCCATTTTTGTAGTTATCTTTTAAAAAAGCATTGTTTTTAACTCCTTTAAGGGTTTTAGGGTAACTCAGGGTAATCAAAATATCTCTATGTAATATTATAATTATAACTCCACAATACGTACCCAGCAATAACTAAAGGCATCTCTGCAGCATCCCTCTCGTCCATCAGAAGCGCTAAGACGCGATCTCTCTGTAGGAATATGGCGACGTCAGCGCTTCCAGAACATTCGCTCTTGACGCGAACGCCTTCCACTTCTTCTAACGTCGCTATTGATTGTGGCTGAAAATTTAGTAAGGAAAAAATTTATTTTTTTTGAGATTTTAATTCATTTTTGGACAAGTTGTTTAGGAAGCTTTTGTTATTAAATAAAAATCAAACTGTATAAAAGTAAGTTAACGTTTAGCTCAGAAATGAGATATTTTCCCGCGGTGAAAAGTATCCTATATGTTGACCCGGATAACCAGCTATCACCAAATTTCATCAAAATCTGTCCAGTGGTTTTTTCGTGACGACAGACAGACAGACAAAAACTCTAAAAATTATAGATTCGGTCTCTGTATCAATAATAATGTTAATTTCAATAAGATTTTCCAAAAAATATTTAATGTGTAGATTCGACTCAGTTAGAATTTTATTATATGTATAGTTTAAGAAAACGTTAGAAAAATTTGAGTGTTATGTTTCGTGTTTTTGCAGTGTTTACAAAAACCAACAAAGTTAAAATATAAAATATAATTATTCCATAATGAAAATCTAACAAAAGGCGAAGAAACTCTTTTAAATATTTTCCCATATTCTAAAAGAATCACATTTTATGTAGGTGTGCTTATGGCTACGGTGTTATGTGATATAGTATTATTTGTTAATGTTTAGAGAACAACTCGAAAGCAAATTAAGGACCATTCACTAACTTAAGCTCGTAAAGACTTTTATATTTTTTTAATCTGGTTAATGAATCCATAAAACCTGACAAAATGTGGTGAAATTGGCCTTACTCGATTAACACAATTGAATCGATAATCGTCACTTGAAAAAATTTTCGACGTATTGATGACATTACTATTTTTGAGTTTTTTTGTTTATATTATAATTTATAACCATGAGGTTTCAACAAAAAATAACAGCAAACAAATACTCTAAATTAGGGTTGTCCCATTTTTTAATATATTGAAGATGTTATTTGATTTCCTTTATATTCAAATCTGATTAATTGATTACTTATGCATCTAGATGTGTCTACAAGAATACTTTACCGGGAAATTTATATCATATGACTTGGATATATTATATTATTGGACACAGCTTAGCCTTTTCTACAGGGCAATAAATTACACTTTCACACATTTTAGTGACCAGTATGCATAGGCCAACATCATGGAATACTGCCAAAAGTGGTCTCTGCGACCCACCTTGTTAAAGGGATACCTTGCTAAAGAGAGATCTGTACTTATAGGAATATATTATAGCATGTATGTTATTATTAAAGCAATAGAAGCCCGTACCACAGAGTTACTCCTCCCCACGATCTGGCTGAGCCCGAAGCGCGGCGACACGAGCAGCACGCGCTCGGGCCGGCTGCTGCTGAAGCACTTTGCGCCGTAGCTCGGCAGCCCGCCCACTATGTCCAGGTAGTGGAGCTTGGCCTGGGAACGTTCATATTTACTCATATTCAATATATTTTTTTAATTTGTTTGTTTGAATGTTTACTATTATTATATACCGGCAACTTATCCTAGCCTCGCGTTTATAATATTGTGTTATTCTAGTTTATCTGTGTACTCATCCAAATCCAACCATTTCAGCGTTAAGGAATAATAAATATACAGACATACACACAAATGTAATAATTGCATCACATATGATATAAGTGTAAAGCCACCCAGTGCACAGTTGGTTAGCGTGATGGACTCGATTAAACTATTTTTTCTAAATTTTTCGCAGATTTATTTTTTCGCGGTCTCTCCCGTGACCATGATTACTATAAAGCGTTCGAAACATCAGGAATCAAAAATCGAAATAAATTCGCAAAAAAACCGAAAAGATGTTTTTTTTTAAATGTCGTCAAATATTCGTGTAAATCTAAGAAAATATTATGTAATGGATTCAAAGTAATCTTCTTCACACTAAGAGGAGGTTCGTTTCTAGCAATAAAAGATAGAGGAGTGAATTATAAGAAAAACTTACTTGTAATTGGGTCAGATGTCGCTGGCCGCCAGTCATTTGCGCGTTCAACTTCAAAAAGTGCGCCACGAGACGTCGCAGTTCCTTGCGCTTCATACTTTCTAGCAGACTACTCGGCACGAATCGTTCTAGACCGAACTCTCTCCTGAAAAACAGAAAAAAGAACAAAATTAAGAGTTAAATATCAAATAAAAGTGTTAATTAATGTGTAATTTTCAACAGTTGACAAAATTTTATTTATATTAGATACGTAGATGTTATAATTTGTAATTCGTATTCGTAAAAATGGTATTCTTTGCGTCACGCTCAAAGGTTGTAAATTACATATATATTCTCTTAGGTGGTTAAGTTTTCTGATTGAGTCGATCGGAGTCGGTTAGACAGATTGATACACCACCTGCCGACTAAAAGACAAACTTCTAACGCCAAACTTATCATAAAGTCAATTTGGGGAATAAATATTATTATTATGCCCACAACTAGTACCAGCATATTTAGTTCAACTGTGTGTCAATAGATGGCGTTACATTTATCGAGTTGTTATTGATGTGTACATTCAATAAAAAGAAAAATACTACCCAAAAAAGTATATTCTGGTTTAAAATGATACTCTAGTAAAGGAAAATGTAATAAAGCGAGCTTTAATCTTATTATTGTTAAATCATCCGTTGTGTAATGAGTTTTTAGTTCGTTTTCATAGATGGCACTGTTTAAATTATACGAGTTGGTTATCTCGACTATAATTAAGTCAAAATTAATTTTCTTAATGTTTTTAGACACTAATAAAACAAATTCACTCACTCAACCCCTTTCACAGTCAACTTGGCGGGTGACATGTTATGCGCAAGCGCATGTTGGTGTATATGCAGGGCTGCCAACCGCAACGCTACATCAGGCTGAAGTTCTGGAGCAAATCTATCTTGAGCCACGTCGTTACAGCACTGTAGATAGAGATAGTCGAGGGCTGAGAGGTCTTTCTGCGCCAGGTCCGCTGCAGAAGACGGCATGAAGACTATGCGGAAGAGACATCGCATTTTGTGTGAGCCGGGACGCGCCGCGATCTGAAATGTTCGAAGGATCTACTAGATTTTAGCTCTTAATTCTTTATCAATTACATACGCAATGTAAAAATTTTATAATATAAACACAAATACATACATATTACAAATATATTACCCATGACTGGAGTACAAACATTCGTGCTCATCGCACAAATGAATGGCCCCAGCGGGACTCGAACCCGCGACCGCTGACATACCAAGTAGGATCACTACAAACTGAGCCAAACATGTCGTCAATAATAAGAATAAGATAAAAATAAATAATGTGAAGTGTAAAGAATTATTTTCTGGGATATAAAAAAATGCTAGTAAAAACAAAAAAATAATTGAATAACAAGAAATCACGCGTGATAAAATACAAAAGACAAGACAAACAAATCTAAATATCACCAATCATTTTCACTCAAGTACGCTAAAATACTTACTCGAGCTAAAGATTCCTTGGGGTCCAACAACGTCAGCTTATTTCGTCTTAAGCTCTTAACATGTTCGACCACTAAACTAAAATGTTCCTCTGCTGTGATGCACAGTTTATCTTTCAAACTGGTGACCACATCAGCTACGGTGGTCGTCGCGTCATATTTAAATGATTTAGTTTGACCATTCTCCAAAAACACTTTGAGAACATTTGCCATTGGAGGTAGACAAAGATCACCTAGGGAAAATGCAGATGGCTGGAAAGCAGTAAAAATAAAAATCATAAATCAAAATATTTATTATTAACAGTAATTGAAAGGAGCAGTAAATTACTATATTATGCCTTAAATTACCCAGAACGAAAAATAGAATTATACACATAAAACATTTTTAATACATAAATTTTGCTATTTAATTAACATTTATTAAATTATCATATAATTTAAAGACCGAAAACATGAAAAAAAACAAGCAAATTTGAAAGAGTCACATGTATATAGTGAAAACTTTTCGTACACTCACAGGATACATAGGTGCGCCATTGAGCTGGACTGAATCAGCAAATCGTACTCTGGGAGGTCTGGCCCTCAACCTGGCCCTCTTTGCCGCAGATAGGAAAGCTGATCGTCTCGCCAAGTTCCCACTCCTGGCCGGTTGGCAAACTCGCAAGGTAACACGTTCGGAACACGCCCGGACAGCCGCTATGACGTGTTCCCTTGCTGCCGAACTCACGTCTTCCCCGTTCACGCATAGTATCTGGTCACCAGGTTCTAGCTGAAATGTTAAATTAACGTTTATAATAATTATTCGTTTATCGTATAATAGTGGAATTCGCCCTGTTTGTTAGTTATACTTTTGCTACACTTTCTGTGCTTATACTTTCCTTCTTCTTTGCAATCTGTACTGGAGTCTGTCTGTAACTATCTATAATCTCTTCTATAATCTGTCTCGTGGTCGCTTTCTATAATTTAATATATTAATTTATTATTTTGTATTATTCATTGATATCTGTAAAGATATCACCTCACTTGACTTAACAGACTTCGAACTGGTAACTCTGACGTGTATGGTATGTGCCGCTTATATGGTTAATTATGTACAATGTACATATATGACTAGTCGCCATAAATTACTTCGGATGGATTTTATAACGCAAAATATATAAATGTTCGCCCTGCTTTATTTTGTTATATATGATGATAAATATACAAAGATTTTGAGTAAAACTATCTTTTCGGATTTATTTTGAGTTTTTGGTTTCAAAAGATAATTTTATTAAAATATGTATTAAATATGCAAAGAATTAAGAAAAATTTAAGAATGTAATACGAAGTCATACAAATAAATCTTACCTTCCCAACACTTGGCGAATTATCCGTAACGAAACGAACAAGCACCGGTTTCTCTGACCCAGCAACAAAACCGAAGCCAAGCTCAGGGTCTCTCTCCAGCACCACATCTCGAGGCGCGGGCGGTGACTCACACGAGAACCCTTCTGGTGCCACATAAGTTGTCGTTTTATTGACATGACTGAAAAAACATAACACTGAATATTTATTTTTGAACTAAATGGCTTTGGCAACTAAGTTATAAAATATTAAGCCTGCTATTCGTATAATAAATTTTACTTGTGGCTTTGAACGAATGTTTATTTCTACTCAGACAATTTATTACGACCCATTCTTCTTATGGAACATTTAGATCTACTTAACTGATATTAATACGTATACTTAGTAATGAACTATGAATTTAACACCTCCAGATAAATTTCTAAGAAATTAATTAAAATTCTAAGAAATCTATTGTTAACTGACACGACGGCGTGTCCGCGGTCGTGGAGGGATTAAAAATAAGTTTGAAACTTTGTTTGAAATTATATTTGAATGAATACAAATCCGCATAGGACATATGTATGTAGATAATACAAAAAATTTCAACATAATATATAATCTGGCAATAATAATTAAAATTTTAATTATTATTGTCTCTGCCCTTAAATTAAAATAACTAGCGACTCCCCCTCGCTTCGCTCGGGTTCGTCATATGGTATGTATACAACTTCCCCATTTGAATCGGATATTATTAAATTTTTAATTGGTTTTTTTTTTTTTTCGTGGGACCCTATCTTTTTTTCTAAAATAAAAGTAGCTTAGTTACTCCTTATAACATCAGCTATCTGCCAGTGAAAGTCCCTTCAAAATCGGTCCAGCCATTTCAAAGATTAGCCGGAACAAACAGACAGACAGACACTTCAATTTTATTTATCTGTATAGATTATTATACTTACTTTATATAATATGGCTTCCCACGGCTATCTAACGCTTGTTCCCATCCATACGGAAGGTCTTCGTCATGTGGACTGTCTCCCTCTTTCACGGGCCAGCTCTCTACTGGCGGCAACCAACTCGCAGTCCTTGTGATGTGGCTGAAAAGATGGATACATAAAATATTAACTATTTATTTTCCATAGGCATTTTATAGGCAGCTATAGCCCAGTGGTAACGCGCTCGCTTGGGTAACCGAGTGAAGCGGCGTCAATTCCCGGGTCCCGCATCTTTGATATTGATATGTGTGAATCATTTCTAAAATAATTACCACTTACGGGGAAGGAAAACATCGTGAGGAAAGCTGCATGTCTGAGAGAACCTAGCAAGATTTCGAAAGACATGTGAAGTCCGCCAACCCGCACTTGGCCAGCGTGGTGGACTATGGCCTGATTCCCCCCATACTGAAGAGAAACTCGTGCCCAGCAGTGGGACGTTAAAAAGGGCTAAATACATACATACATTTCCCATATCTTTTATTAGTCCAAACATTTATCAAAAGTATTTTTTGTTTGTTTTTTTTTTCAAACTACAATTGTAAGTTAAAATGAGGTATTTTCAGTTTAATATTTTAATAGCAATTATGTATTATTATAACTGCATTATGATATTTGGAATACCTTTCAAACATTTATTTTAATTGATATAATACACAATTAAATTACGGTGACATTGAGTTCTATATTGATTTTGTTAGATAATTGTATTGGGAAATATATATATCGAATATACCTTAGAAATTCTGTCTGTCTAATTACGTATGACACTCGAGGACGATTAACCAATCTAAATGATTATTTTTATTGCTTAGCTTATTTTCTATTAAAAGTTTCACTTATAAATCCAGAACAGGCTAGACATATTAACATGCACAAGTGCTAGGTACACTTGTTCCTTTCACTCTCAAAGTCCAAAGGAACGACAATTCGACACGACCAGTTACAAAAAAGGCGCAGTACCCACAATTTTTTGGAATCTTATCAGAAAGACAATTTTTTACCAGAGGTACAATACAAAACAGGATTTTAATAAGCCATAAGGTAGTTAAATAATAAGAAATGGGTAGTAAGAGCTAGTATAGTAAACTAGCATTAATACTATCAAGTATCGACATCTATGTATATACAGATAGGCATCAGTAATGCTATTTGTACACCAAAAAAAATTAAAAAAGTAATACATCGTGTAAACGTTTAAAAAAAGCCCCAAGCTAATACGCAGGTGGTTTACTGACCCATATAAAAAAAGGCATATTGTTGGTATTTCGAAATGAACGAGCGATTACGAGGCTGCAAACGAGGGGCTAAATTTTAGTACCATCCTTCACCCACTTTGTACATTTGTTTTGGGAATAAATTGCCTCTACACGAGGGAATATTCTTGATATAAAAGAACGGGAATTTTTATATTGTGTTTGTTAACTTTGATATGCATATTATAATCACGAATTCTTTAGAATTTTCATCATTTCGGCATTTGTCTTAATATTTTCATATTGGCAGGAAACTTTTTTTTTTAAGTCGAGACTTAAAATATATTTTTCAATAATAGCTCTTGCTTGCAAGAAAAAAAGTTTTCATAACTCTAAGACTAATTACCATTAGCTATACATGGATCCTTGCTATGTATAGAAGCGCGCAAAACAGGGATCTGAAGTTGTGAGCTTTATTTTTAACCCAGGTTAAAATCTATACAGCAAAAAAATTGAATGAAACTATATTGGCAATGCTTATAGTAAACTGAATAAATAAAGTCGGTTCAAAAATTAAAAACAATGATAACGCAGTGGTATCGCGCATGCTTGGGAAACTGAATGAAGCGGTTTTAAATCTCGGGTCTCGTAACTCTGATATCTTCACGTGCGAATCATTTCCAACATGATTTTTCTTAAGGCTAAAGAAAACATAGTGAGGAAACTTTGAATTGGCCTTCGCATTGAATTGGCCCATACCCAGCGATGGGAGGACGTTAAAAAGGGTTGAATACAATGCAAATAAATTTTTTGACCGACTTCAAAAAAGAAAGAGATTGTCAATTCGGGTGTAATTCGCCGCGAGGGGCGCTAGTATATAGTGATGTCTCTAGAACTGTCAAATGATACTGAATGTTAACTGTTTGCGAGGTTTTCATCGCGGATCTTCACTATTATCATACGTATATACGTTATATATATATATATATATATATATATATATATATATATATATATATATATATATATATATTATATAACGTATATACGTATTATATTATATACGTATTATCACGGAATTATTCATGATTATTGTAAACATTGTGCCATTCCTGATTAATTATGGCAGAGCACGGTACGGCACAACAAATGTTATTGCCTTAAAAGAAAATCTAAGAAAAAGTCAATATTTTATCTATTTAGTTATTATATATTAATTGTGTAAAACAAAATTTAATTATTATTATTAAAAATTTTAATTATTATTATATTAAATTTATGGCTTTGCCGTACTAATAAATACTTTTTTAAAATATTTAATAATTTACAGCGATAGAACTTTACTCGCCAGTGGCGCCAACTGGTGCCGCCAGAAACAACAGTCCCCATTTTACATATCATTAATGTCAAAAACATGTCCAATACATTTTTAACAAAAATCTATGATTGGATAGATTTTTGTTAATCACGCCAGAACGGCTGAGCGGATTTGGATGAAATTTGACACAGAGATAGTCTGGAATTTCATATAGGCTATGGTATAATGACACGGTTCCCGTGATAGATGTGACCTTGTTTTTCGAGGGTGAGTCGCTTGTTAATTATAAAAAATATTTAAATTATAATTACTTCAAAGTATTGTTAGATAGATTGATTGCGATTGTCATATAAAAACACATTACATATAGCAATAACCATAAATAATTTAGTGAATGCATTAGAAAACCCTTACAAAGTTCTATAAAGGCTTATACGTAATGACGCTTTCAACCATATTACACTTTTCCGGCTTTCAATATTACAGCTATCAAAATTTCCTTGCGGTTGTAGACAGTGTTAATTCGATTTTGAACTCTAAATTTAACATTTTAAAGTACACATTTGTGGACCTGTTACCGAAGATTTTCAAAGCAATTCGACATATTTTTTATATGTGGATTTAAGAACAATGTGGTTGAAAGTAGGATAAGAGCTAGCAAATAATTTGCCAAAAGTTCTAAGAATAAAAAAAAGCTCTTCTCGTTACCTACATAGTATACGACTGTATTTTAAATGAATGAATAAAATTAAAAATAATAATAATAAAGCTAGCTTCTAGAATTATTAACTACTAGCGACTCACCATGGCTTCGCTCGCGTTCGTGCTTAGGTGAATCTTTAAATTGACGTAACTTTTTAATTTATATATATTAGGAAATAACACACAGCACCATCTAGTTCCATGGTAAGCTACGAGGCTTGTGTTATGGATACTAGATAGTTGATACTTGATACACTACACAATATATATAAATAACTTTAAATACATACATATTATAAATATAAACACCCATGACTGGAGTAAAGAAATTTATGAACCGATTGAAATAAAACAAATACTAAATATTAAGTGAAGCTTACCACAATACAATAGTGAAAACCGCACTCAAATCAGTTAAGCCGTTTTTGAGATTAGCACGCACAAACGAACAGACAAATAGACAAAAATTCTAAAAATCATTATTTTGGGTTCTATTGTGTTTAAATGTTAAAAATTATAATAATAATTTACATAATATACTTTTTAAAGTGTTTGTTTGTAATGTCAAAATAACAGCTTTTTACTAAAAGCATATGGATGTATACACGGTACATATACCAAAATATTTTTTTACAAAAATAAATTTTTGTCTGTCTGTCTGTTTGTTTTGGCTAATCTCTGAAATGGCTGGACCGATTTTGACGGGACTTTCACTGGCAGATAGCTAATATAATAAGAAGTAAAAAAGCTTAGAAAAAAATTGGGCCCGACAAAAAAAATTAAACCAATGAAAAATTTAATAAAATCCGATTCAAATAGGGAAGTTGTATACATACCCTAGGGACGAACCCGAGCGAAGCGAGAGTGCGTCGCTAGTTCAGAAATATTATAAAAAATGCGAATAATTTCCCGGCTCTTAGATTATAATATTTTTCATCGTTCGTTTTCTAGGGGACTTTCAGATGTTTGTTCACGCAAAAGACCGAGACGTGTGCTATGGAGTTTAGAAGGATAAATGATTCGGACATAGGAAATTAAAAAGCTGGAGGGCATTCTTAATGATGTACATTATGATGTAAGGATCTACTTTTTAGGCCCCTCATCCCGTAGGGTCCAGGCGGGGTTCAAATTATTTATCCCATAATGGTAATTCAAAAATACAAAATGTTTTTTTTTTATAAAAAGTAAAATATCTATATTTTTTGTAAAGATAAATATTTTCAAATTTTGTTTAACATTGAAATATCTTGGCATCGACATCATTCTGTCACTGTGCTTCATATATCTTCAATAAAGTCGTTGATTTTATAATTTTAACACAGAAACGATCTCTTATATATTCTTTTATTAATAGTGTCCTTCGACCGATTTCAGCCACGGCAGCCAATAATTATATTAAATTTTAAACTTTATAATATTAAAGTAAAACTGAACAAAGAATCACTAATAATCTAATAGCATATTATTATCGTAGTTAAAATGTAATTAAACTTGATGCTAGGATAGTTATATGGTCGTTACATTTGCGAGTCGCGGCTCGACCGCAGGCACTCCCGACAGTCTGCGGTTTGGTAATTCAATTATTTGTTGTCCGTGCTGCGATTTAGTTCTATTTTAACTAGTCAATGTTATGTTAACTGTACCTTTGTTTTAGTTTGGATATGGCTGGAACTTTATAAATATTAAACTATAGGATCTATCCCACGGGAACCGTACATTTTTCCGGAATAAAAAGTAGCGTATGTGCTATTCCAGACTATAATATATCTGAGCCTTTCATCCAGATCCGTTCAGCCGGTCTAGCGTGATTGAGTAACAAACATCCATCAAAATTTTTACATTTGTAATATTAGTAAGTATATAATAATAATAATATAGAATCTGTATATCAAATATAATAATTATTTATTGACATGACAAATTGTAGAAACAAAAATGACAAAAACTCATATATGTAAATACTTCAAGCGGTAAATGAATCTGTGACCCTCTAACACATAAGGGAGTCATGTTAAATAGATAATAAACATATATCGATAATCTTGTCGTTTCCGTCCAATAATCGTGCGCCATTTATGTTCCTCCGAAAATACCCCTTCGTAATCCAATTCCCAACACAATGCTTAGGGCGCGCGCACAAACTGAACATTTCCGACTCAATTTAACTTAAGGACGTGTATCAAAACATTTTATTTAAAAAGAAGTTTATATTTTTTTCGATAATCTATACTACAATACTATTTTATAATATTATAAGTGGGTTGTCAGCAGTCGTAATATTAAGAAGAAAACCACGACTGACTCAATACGAGCTAGTATCTAAGAGAATTACAAGGCGTGAGTGTCTGACAAAATGTATTTATGATATCAAGATGGCGGATTCTAATATCTGGGCTATCATTTTTCAGTTTTAATAAAT